ACCTGTATATAGATCAAGGTCTGATATTTAATCTTTAGCCGTGTCCTTCAGCTTGACACAATGGATGTATGTATGGATTGTGATGAGAATTGTACGAGCCCCAATAAAATAATTTTTAAAAACACCAAATGGTTGAGTTCATTTTTAGCTATTTTTGACTCCTATGAGGATAAAGTAATGAAAAATAATGTTTTTTTTAAGTGAGTGTTTTTGAAAAGAGGTCATCCTAATGTTTCAAATTTTTTTTTGTGTGAATTGTAAAATAGGTGAAAATTAAGTACCTCCATTGTAAATGTTGCTTTTGTACATTAAAAACAAAAACTCACTACCATGGAGTTGATGCTGACTCAGTAACCCATAGGACAATTTAAAACTGCCCTTGTGGGTTTCTGAGACGGAAACTTTTTTTTTGTACATTAGAAATTAACAAAAATTATTTTTCTGTATAATAGATAATAAACATACATATATATGTGTATGCATGTAAATATATAATATATATGAGAGATGGTTAAGAATGTTCATTTGAGCACTATTTATAATAGCAAAAATCTAGAAATAGGCTAAATGCCTACCAGTAATGAAAACTGACTTGATCAGCTGGTAATTTCACACTATACAGTGCTTAAAAGGAATGAGGTATGTGTAACAGTATGGTTGACTCTACAAGACATACTGTTTGCAGACCTAAGTATGTGTGATACAAATCCTTTTTTAAAAAATACCCTTCTTGTAGAATAAGGAGCTCTGGTGGTGTGGTGGTTACGCATTGGGCTGCTAATGGCAAGGTGCACAGTTCAACACCAGCTGCTCCAAGGGAGAAATACAGGGCTTTGTACTCCTGTAAAGAGTTACAGTCTTGTAAACTTATAGGGGTAGTTGTTCTACCCTGCCCTATAGAGTTTCTATGAGTCAGCATCCACTTAATGGCAGTGAGTTTGTTTGTTTTTGTTGTTGTTTCTGTAGAATAAATACAATAGAATTTTAAATGAATATTAATATTTGTAATCGTCACAAGTTTTGAAACAATATTTTTAATAACATCATGGTTCTTGTTTAGGGTTCTCGGTGTTCATCTGATGCCAATATGCTTGGAGAGATGATGTTTGGCTCAGTAGCTATGAGCTACAAAGGATCCACCCTAAAAATTCATCAGATCCGGTGAGGGATTTTCTGACCTTACCAAAAAAATACAAATTCCACTGTGGAATTTTCAGTCTTACTGAAGATGACATAATTTCTTATGATTTTCATTCAGGTTGTCTATCTGAGATACTCATTTTATAATGTCCAATGAACTTAATATAATTGCATTGTATTTAAATCAGGAAATATCTCTGGCTCATAGATTTCTATTTATAATAACAGAGCATAAAATTTAGTTTTGATCCTTCTCTGTTCCTCTCTTCCTGTTCATAGATCTCCTCCACAGCTTATGCTCAGCAAAGTTTTTACGGCACGGACTGGCAGCAGTATCTGTGGAAGCCTCAATACGTAAGTGCCTGTGAATGCAGAGGACAGGGGATTGCTTACGGATGTGCATATCACAATACGGACACACTGCTTTTTGGATTACAGCATAAGTTCAAATAGTCTTCTTTCCCCCTTAAGTTTAAAAGTGCATGGATGGTGCCAGGCTGCATCTCCATTTGACTTGAGTTGAAGAATAGGTGTGGTTTTTGATTCTCTAGTTCACTAGAAAGTCCTATCTAGCTACAAGTGAAATTTTGAATGTTTTTCCATCTGAGGTTGACAGACTGGTTTTTTTCACTTTTGTAGTGCCAGGTTGGGTTGACAGGCAGAGGTGCTCTTCATTGTTCAGATTCCCTGAAGGATTAACCCCGTAGAGAGGAGTAATCCAGGACACCCGCATGGTAGGATGCTGATATTTCAAGCTGTTAATACCCAGGTTAGAAGAACAAAGTCGGAACTGGTGGCAGAGTGATAGACTTTGTGCACAAACCTAGAAATGAAGGACAACAGCTGTGTCAGTTGGAAGTGGACCCCACAGATGGATTCTGTGGGAGTGTTATCAGAACAGTGCTCCTTGGAAAGCCAGCATCGCTTGGGCTTACCTAAGGTTGAAATTAGCAGGAGACATTAAGATTGCTACTCTAGAGATTCTGTTCATTTTAAATGTAAAAAGATATCTTTTAAGAGAGCTTTTATTAGCAAAGTTTCCAGTATCTGTAGCTCTTCCAAAAGGACAACAAAACTCTTCTTTTAGTAAAACAGGAACAGGAGAGATTGTTTTTGAAATTTCATGGACGGTAAAAAATAAAAACTTCTGGTTGACAACAAATCTAACTTTTGAGAGTTTGAAACGGAAGTACAAGTTATATACCCTAGGTTGGATGCACTGATTTTAGCTATAGGCACCATAGTTTCTTTATCTTTTGTAAATTCCAGTCTAGTTTCTAATCTTAAAATCTGTGGAAAGGATACTTTTCACTAAATGTATAAAGTAATTTTTGCTATTCTGAGTGTTTTACTAAAAGAAACAGTATACATTTCTAATGTATAGAATAATGGCAGTTTTTAGATATTTGGCCCATCCTTTTTTTATTTTCCTCTTACTGGAAGTTTATTACATATTTTTAGGTCCAAAGTGTGAGTGAAAATCTTGCTTGTAGTTTAAATAAAAGTCAGCAAACTTTTTTGGTAATGGTGCAGGTAGTAAATATTCTTGGCTTTGTAGTCTATATAGTCTGTTGCCGTTTCTCAGCTTTGACACCGAAGCATGAAATCAGCCACAGATGATGCATAAATGAATGATGTGGCAGGGGTCCTTAAAAACTTTATTTGTGGGGACTTCATTAAAATGGAAAAAGACTTTCAGTCATTTAGAAGATTTCATTAAGGAAGTAAAGAAGCAACTTACAAGTTGAGGAAAAATTTATTAGATGCTGTAAATATCAGATAAGGATTTAACATTCAGAATATATTAAGAACTCTTGTAATGACAAAAAGACTAGCAACCTAATGAAAATATAGGCAAAGGACTTGAATAGACTTTTCATTAGAGAAGAAATGTTAAGTGGCAAAAATACACATGAAAAGCTACTCAAGCTCATTGGTCATTTGGAGGCTGTAAGGGAGAATTACAATGGCATATCACTTCACATCCCCTAGATTGGATGTGGCTAAAGACATAAAAAGTAAAGGTGTTGGTGGGGATATGGAGAAATTAGAATCCTTATTCATTGCTTATGGGATTGTAAAATGGTACAGCTACTGTGAAAATAATCTGGTGAATAAAAAACTGTTAGATCTAAAATTACCGTTTTATCAATCAGTTCCACTTCTAGAGATAGAGTGAAAAGAAAAAAGCCAGATACTTTTACACTCATGTTCATTTTGGTACTATTTATGATAACAGAGTTGAAAGCTAAATGTCGATCAACAGAAAAATGGATAAACAAAATGTATATATATATGCACAGTGGAAGATTATTCAGCCATAAAGAGAACTGTTGCAACATAAACAAATCTTTGAAACATTCTGAGTGAAATGTGAGTGACAAAAGAACAAATAGTATATGGTCATACTTAAATGATATATTTAAGGAGTCCTGGTGGCACTGTCCAGTGAGCATTAGACTACTAACCAATAGGTCAGTAGTGCAAACCCACCAGCTGATCCGATGGAGAAAGAGGAGGCTTTCTGTGCCTGTCAAGATTTACAGCTTCAGAAACCCTATATAGGGCCACTAGGAGTCAGTTGGCAGTGGGTTTGGTATTGAGGTCTATGGAATATCTATAGTAGGCAAATGCATAAAGATTAAAGTTTGTTGTTTCTTGGGATGGGAGAGAGGAAGGGAAAAAGGATGACACAACAATTAGGGGGAAACTAAGTTTGGGCTGCTAACCACAGCAGTTTGAAACCACCAGGTGCTCTAGAGAGAAAGATGCAGCTTTCTGTTCTTGTCAGGAGTTAGTATCAGAAACCCACGGGGGGTCAGTTCTACTCTGTACTATAAGATCTACTGATTTGATGGTAGTGAGAAGCTTCTGTTAAGGGTGATGGAAAATTCAAGAAATGGTTAATGGTGATTGTTGAACATGAGGGATTTAATTTTAATGAACTATACATGTGAAGATTGTTAAAAAGGCAAATGTTTTGTTACATATTTACCACAATTGAAATTTTTAAAAAATCAAAATTAGGCAACCAGTTCAATTTGGCCCTTGAGTTGTTGTCACATGCAAACCCCTGATTTAAATTAATTCTTTTATTTATTATTAATTGGGAGTTAATACATATATCATGCCATAGTTCAGTCATGTCAAGCAGAATTGTACAATTGCTACCACAATCAGTTCCCAAACATTGTTTTTCTTCCTGGAGTGCTTCACAGTGTCTCCCTTTTAAATACCGTGTCCCC